CCTTATGTCTGTATGCTACTCTCCAGCGACACCTCCAATCTTCAGCACGTGTGTGATCTCTTTGTGTTGCAAGTGCCGTAAAACTCCTCCTCACCCCAAAAGTGTCTCTCTCACACAGGCGGCCAACATGCCCGACTCGGAGCTGTTTGAGTTGATCGCCGAGAACCGCAGCATGTCGCGCAAACTGGAGGATTATGGAAACCAGAAGTCCACGTCCATCAGCACAGCGAAGAGATTGGCCGAGGTGAGAGACCGACTGGTCACACAAACACTAAACACAAACACTACAAGCTCAAACAGCTAGGGAAATTACTGAAACAACTGCAAGACTACGGGGTTGTGGGTGGTAGTGGTTGTTGATGATGATGGTGGTGGTAGTGGTTGTTGATGATGATGATGGTAGTGGTTGTTGATGATAATGGTAGTGGTTGTTGATGATAATGATGGTAGTGGTTGTTCATGATAATGGTTGTGGTTGTTGATGATAATGATGGTAGTGGTTGTTGATGATGATGATGGTAGTGGTTGTTGATGATGATGGTGGTGGTAGTGGTTGTTGATGATGATGATGGTAGTTGTTGTTGATGATGATGATGGTAGTGGTTGTTGATGATAATGGTTGTGGTTGTTGATGATAATGATGGTAGTGGTTGTTGATGATAATGATGGTATTGGTTGTTGATGATGATGATGGTAGTGGTTATTGATGATAATGATGGTGGTAGTGGTTGTTGATGATAATGATGGTAGGGGTTGTTGATGATAATGATGGTAGTGGTTGTTGATGATAATGATGGTAGTGGTTGTTGATGATAATGATGGTAGTGGTTGTTGATGATAATGATGGTGGTAGTGGTTGTTGATGATAATGATGGTAGTGGTTGTTGATGATAATGATGGTAGTGGTTGTTGATGATAATGATGGTAGTGGTTGTTGATGATGATGGTGGTGGTGGTGGTTGATGATAATGGTGGTAGTGGTTGTTGATGATAATGATAGTGGTAGTGGTTGTTGATGATAATGATGGTGGTAGTGGTGGTTGATGATAATGATGGTAGTGGTAGCGGTGACCAACCTCAGTTGTGATTCATTTTTCAACATTACAAAACGTTTTTAAGATGTTATTTATCTTCGAGTCATTTATGATTTTGTCTGTCGTTGTGAATTATGCGTGCTTTGTAAGATGCAGGTCAATGGTCTTAACTAGTGAATGGTATATCTACTCACCTACTTACCTACCTATACCCTTCTACACTGATGATGTTGATGATGACGAAAACAACCGACCTGTGACAGTCATCAATGTGTTGTGTCTTCCCCTAATCCCCCCGCGCGCTATACTCCACAGTTCCTGGGCGACCAGATGGTCAAGGACACGGGTCTGTCCTGCCGGTTCGTCATCTCCAAGAAGCCGGAAGGTTCCCCGGTGACGGAGCGAGCCATCCCATTGGCTATCTTCCAGGCAGAGCCCACAGTGCGCAGACATTACCTGAAGAAGTGGCTCAAGCTCTCCGACGCTTCTCACCTGGACATCCGAGACGTCAGTAACTGCCGCCGCTACTTGTGGCCCAGATCGTCATACCTTGCTCCTCTTTACAATACAATACTCCTAACTTTACGCAGTTATCTGTAAAAAAAAAAATTTCACAATTTTATAAATAACCCATAAGTGTCAATTTAGGAAAATATTTCTTTTTACTAAACGTGACAGAAAATAATACCAGACTAAATTATTGTAGCATAAAAATATGAGGACTACTTCTAGGTATCTATACTTGACTTAATTATTTTGACACTGTCTGTATGAGGACGATGTCTAGATATTTGCAGTTGAATTAATTATCTTGACCCTGTCTCGCAAAGTTCTCAATTATCCCTAGATGTAATTTTTGATACATTAATAAGGATCTCGTAGATCAAGGCTAGGTTCTAGCAGTATCCTTCTACAGATGGCAGTTGTCATTTCAAGCACCCACAGCAGGAATTTCTGCTCTTGAGACCCCCAAAACGGACCCTGTAACGTATCAGTTTACTTCGTTAGACGTTCTGAAGTCGACAATGCTTGTGATTTGTTTGGGAAAAAAGTTATTAAAATAATTTGCTCAACAATATTCGATGAATATAAGGATAACATTGACGATGATAATATGGACAGCTTGAATGACGGCGATAAGGTATAACACTGGTGATGACAATAACGATGTAAATCTCCTCCCCCGGCAGATCCTGGACTGGGAATACTACGTGGAGAGGCTGGGAGGATGTATACAGAAGATTATCACTATCCCTGCCGCACTACAGGCTGTGAGTGTCTCTCTCTCTGTCTCTCTCTGTCTCTCTTTCTCTCTCTCTCTTTCTCTCTCTCTCTCTCTCTCTCTCTCTCTCTCTCTCTCTCTCTCTGTTGTGTCTGTTCATCATTCTTGCTTTTTTCTTCGTGTCCCTTCTTTCCTATCAAACGTCTATCGTCTTGATCTCCCCTCCTTCTTTTTTTGTGTTTGTCACTCTCTTGTAACACCTCTAATCTTCGGCACTTATATGACCTTATTGTCTTGCGAGTGCCGTAAAACTCTTACTAAACTTTTCTTTGTGGGCAATTGGAGGGTGTCACTGGTAGTGTAGCTCCTACTTCCGTTCTTTCCCTCCGTTGTTTCTGCGTTTTCCCATGCTCTAAGCGACTGTCAAATGTCGCAATGTTCTTTTCTTTACCCAGTTTCTGCCTGTGTGTTGTGTTAGACAGATGTAAATGATAGTCACGTTACAAACAAACCAATCTTTACTTCAGGTTTCGAACCCTGTACCCCGCATCCCTCACCCGGACTGGCTGCGGAAGAAAATGCTGGAGAGAAATGACGTGTTTAAGCAGAAGAAGATCAGCGAGATCTTTGCCCCTGCTGCTAAACCAGTGGTGCAGGTTAGTGGGTGTGTGTGTGTGTTTATGCGTGTATATATATAAATATTCTCCTCACTTGGGAAAGGAACTCCAGCCTTCTGTGTGTGACGACGAAACACCCATCCTGAAACACATAACCTTGTATGCTGGATATTTCCCCCACTGTTGTGAACAAAGACGGCCGTGATCAGAACCGGTGCCTATGGTGGAATGGTTAAGCTGTAAGCAGCCAGCCTCCTAACTAAACTACCTGTGACATGTGAGAGGGGAGGCTTGAGGTGTGCTGACATGAGGTATCGGCCCACAATTGATTAAAAAAAAAAAAATATATATATATCTAGATCTATATGTTTGTGAACAAAACAAAACCAACCCAGGAACTTGGAGATAGTGTCAGAATACTCAATTCCCAAATGAATGAACAGAGAAACAGACAAACAAATACATTTCCCTCAACAAAAATGTACATTTCAAATCCAGCACACAAAGCGATCCCGCGCAGGCGTGTTCTGGTCATGAAGCAATTGTTTTTTG